AATTTCTTAAGTTCATGTCAAAAGTAAAATTGCCTAATGGGGTAAGAAGATGTGCCACAAAAAATCATAGTCAAAAGAGGAGCATGACATTCTGCAAGAACAAGTACTCTAGTTACTTGGTCATATCCTTGCAACATTACATGTAAATATCTTGAAAAAAACGTAATAAATGCAAAAATGGAAGATCTGAAACTTACAATTCTTCTTCTGGATTTCGTTCGCTCCTTTTATGAATGCAATGTGCAATCCAGAGTGAGTACCATTCGGTAAAGCTGCTTCGAGAGATGCCCTAAAAGCAGCTATTAGTTCAGTTCAGATAACGATTAAAGGGGATAAAATTACCAACCATTTCATTCATGTCGAAATCTTCATCGTTCGTTGAACAGAACAGATGATCCACATCTGCATAGCGAGGATTAGCCACTATCGGGTCCAAGGTAGCACGCTGGAAGAAAATTTTGGGAAATGCAATTCTTCCCCACTTATTTAAGTACTAGCAATAGCTTACCACGGTTTCATTAGCTAGCCAGCTTTGCAGCTTGTTCGAGGCAAGTGCATAGTAAACTATGCATTTTACGTAAAGAGTGACGAGAAAACGTCGAAGTTCATGCACTTGTAGTAGATTAACAGCTGAGTTATCGGTAATCGAGTATCCATCGATGATGTACTTTCCGGTAACCACCTTAACACATCTAATGACTTTATGTATGAGAGTAGATACAAGTTTTTCAACATATTTTTCCGCTTAAGAATCTGCATTCAATTGTCTCTAATATTCTCGACTTAAGGTATAATGTTCATCTATCATCAGCTCCCTCAAGTAGGCTCTAATTCTGTCCATCCCCCTTATTTCCTTCCGTGGTCATTTTCCAGCGACCTCCAGAGGCAACGCCTTTCTTCTGATGTGGGTCTCATCTCTTCCACACATGCTCGTAACATCGTCGTTTTCCTCACCTTCTCAGCAATGGGAGTAACTTTACCCTAGCTCGATTTATGTCAACAGACATGATCTAGAATATACCTGATGTGCACCGCAGCACCTTTTTTATATGACATGCTATGTCTCTAAGTTCCTGTGTTATTTCGTGAACTTGGCCAACATTCATTGCCATCAGTATATATCTGGTTTGAGTTGCGCGCATTTGCTTCTCACCAAGAACTCCTGTGAAGCTTTTCCATTTCTTGCAGGCAGCGATAATCCTAGCCGATATTCTTCCTGAAGTTCGATGCGACTTCCTAAGCACTTAAGTACTCCCATATTCTGGATTGGTTAGTCATCGTATATGGTTTCTGGGACACCCACTTCCATATATTTTGCGTATTTGCGTTGAGCTTTAAGCTGTACAACTCTAGTCCCTCCATCTGTGTACTTCTTCTTCGACAAGTTCCTTCTTGCTTCCCATCACCAAGACATCATCTGCATGTAAGAGAGCTGATGGAGGCTGTCGCTTCCATTGGAAAACTCGCTTGAAACTGCGATGACTGCGATGAAGAATAGAGAGGGGGGGGG